CCAAAAATGTCACGTCTCTTCGTTAAGTTCTTTATCTATTATCTAAAATATAAACTGTGTATATAGGAGTTGTGTAGCACGTTTAGCACCCCTAATGTTTAAGCTAAAATGTACTTCCGAATAATTGCCCCTGTTGAAAATAAAAATGATGTTTTAACCATCAAGCCAGTTGTGATTTTCTCGCCGCTCAGATTTACGCAGCAGTGTTTCTCGGCCATGACTAAAAAGTGAATTGGTGTCATCTTCCTCATATACTACAACATCACATCTATATGTAAAATGGTAAACTCAGAAAATCGGTTAGCAAGGTTTTCAGTTAGTTTAATTTCGGTGGAATATTATAGTAATTTCGAAACATTTTTCTGGATTAGAAGTAAATCTCTTGTTACTATTAATTCTAATATATCTTGTTCTATTAAGTCTAATATCAATAATCATAATGAACGCTCATAAAGATTTGCTACCTAAAATTATTAATAGCAAACTGTGGTTATTAATTATGGTTAAGATGAATCGTAATAATAGTTTGGTTTTAATTTAAAAGAGGCATCTATTCACACTGTTCTATGATATATTAATTCAAATTACTCATCTTGTCATTACTAAGAATGGTTCAAATGACTGAACAGTTGTTCTTTGCAGGGTGCTACTTTGGTAGACGGTTGCACGGATTTTGGCGAGTTTTTGGCAATTTTTCTTTTGGCGAGTAATACGACTTATGGTAAACCCATTGCTGGATAAGTTATTTATGGTAACCGATACTTTGTTGACATTTTATTTAAAAAATAATGCGTGTTATTATGCATAAATTCCGTGTTTTAAATATTATTTATGGCTTCTAAATATTAAAAATCAATTTAATTTTGCATTTTTATTTGAAATAAAAATTTTATTCTTTATCATATTTTATGAAATTTTATGCTGTGGATGATGTAATCAGTGACGTCACCTTACTTTAAAAGTAATTGGTTTTAATATCTATAAATTTAATCTAATGTTTTAAACATTATTTATGGCTGTTAAATATTAAAATACAATTTAATTTTGCATTTCTTTTTTAAAATGATTTTATTATGTATGATTATTTAAATAATTTTAATTCTAGGCGTGATGTAATCAGCTCTCTGATTGGTTTTAGAATATTTGTGCATTAATGAGCTGTAATCAGCTCCCTGATAGGTTGCTGAAAATTTGTGCATTACCGCGCCATTTTAAAATTTAATTCATATCTTCGAATTCCTTCAAAAATGTCTCCTTCAAAGATGAATGTTGTTTTTGATAAGTACCAAGAATTTTTGGTTTCGGAATCAAAAAATTGTCCTTTGAGACCTTATTTTCGCCAGCCTGGCTTTCCTAATCAAAGATTTATTTAAAATTCTTACAAGGGTCAGAGGAAATTTATTTTAAATTTTTGAAGGAAACGTCGCTAATTGTTTCTTCAATGAAGTGCGAAAATGTAGATCACAGATAAAGACCGTTAGAAGAGCCGATTCTGAGACGGCCGTATATGATATTGTGGTCATGTTGGAAGAAATAAGCGCTGTACGGTAACGGAAATAAGAAGTTATTTTTTAGACATTTTTTGCCTCCTTTTTTACTAACAATAAACTAATTGCTGTCATTTTAGCTCTAGTGTACGAAGCGTTCTTATTTACTTATTTTAAAGTATTTAATTTAAGTAATATTTTAATTCTTTTAAACGTTGGTATGATGGTTTTTAATTCGATATTCAATTTACGTAATATTTTAATCCAATTAAACGTTGGCGCAATGTTTTATAGTGGTATTTTTATTCTATTTCTATGCTATATGAAAGTAATAATTTAACCTTTCTTTAGTATTTTATACTCGTAGTAAATGTATTTATTCTATATAATATATATATATATATTTATAACGTATTTTAAAGTATTTAAATTTAATAATATTCTAATTCTTTTAAATGTTGGATGATGTTTTTTATTTCGATATTCAATTTCAGTAATATTTTAATCTAATTAAACATTGGCACAATGTTTTTATAGCGGTGTTTTTATTCTCTTCTTTGCTATATGAAATTAACAATAACATTACTTTAGTATTTTATACTCATAGTAAATGTATTTATTTACACTTGCCTGCCATCTTAAAAAACGACATTTTCAACAAAAAAAAAATAATCCATTATTTCTAACGATATTTATTTTTTTTTAAGTTTCGAATACTTTACTATGCGTAAAAACAGCGTTTTTCAAGATGGCTGACGTTTGTAGAAATCGCGCCAACAATTGCGCCAACGTAAATCGCCAAAAATCCGTGCAACCGTCTACCAAAGTAGCAGCCTCTGGAGTAGTGTTATAAGGTATTTCTCCCGCCTTCTTAGCAAGCCTTCGTGGTGTAGTGGTCTGCACGCTCAGTGCGTCTGAGAGGTCCGCGGCTCGATTCCAGGCGAAGCCGTTGCTAATTTTTCATCTCTCTTGCTTTCAAAAAAATACCTAATGTCTCTACAGTGTTACTCATTTAATTTTAAGCTGAATTCAAAAGAAAAGATTACAGTTAAATTTTCTTAGATTGAAGATTATAGTTAAATAATCTCAGCTTACATGAGAAAGACTTCATAGTTGCCACAAATTACAAAATTTCAGATTTCAATAAACAACAGAAAGAGATTCCTGATAATGAAACATTAACAAAAACTCATAAATAATAAACAAAAACTTTCGTTTATTATTTATGAGTCTGAAAGACTACAGTAATTGTTACCAAGCAACTGTAGTTAGATTTAAATAGCTTCCATTGTAACCGAAACAATGTTACCGTGAATTGCTGAAATCTATCGTAATGTGGACATATTTGTAAAAATACAAAATTCTCGTACGCATTTACTTGGGCTTTTGCTAGCTATGGTTTTACTAATTAATAGATTAGAACGGAATACTAAATTCTTAGTTAAAACCATGTTTTCCACAATATGAGTACGGGAAATGAATAGAATATGAAACTAAAGATACACTTTCCACATGAAGAAATTCCTTTTTTTTTTTTTTTTAAATCACAACATATAAAAAAAAATGATTTAAAATACATCTTAGCAGTGTGATATTTTAAAATATGCAAAGTCTTAATGTAAGTTGAGTCAGCCATTTTATTTATTTATTTATTTCCTCCATGAAAAAATAAGCAATAGCTAAAAGTTATATTTTTAATCTGAAATTCCGAGATGCTGCTAGTAAAAACATGAAGGTAAAGAATGCTCTTGGAAACTTCATGTTGAGTTCACATCATAATAGGTTTTGAGTCATCACAGTAACGTTAATCCAGTATTGATGCAACATTTAAATAAATGTTTACAGGGAGGGGGACGAACATGAAAAATTCTTTGGTGTAGTTAGAGATTCAGAAGAAACAGTTTTTCAGAATTTCTAAAAGGAAGCTTCTTTTTTTTTTTTTTTTTTTAATAATTTAACAAAATTTTTATATATTTTCTCACGAACAGTCAGTTGTTTATTGCATTCGATACAATTTTCAGTGAGAAAAAGAAAAAGCAGAACTCTTTCTGCTGTTAAGCTGAAACTAGCTCGGAAGTATATTGCAAAGCACAATTTTTTGTCATCATTTTTTGTCTGTAGACTCACAAGTGTGAATGAACGATTAAGACAATGAAAACAATATAATGATGATCAAATTATGTTGTTTGACAAACCCTTGACTTCAAATTCTTGATGGTAATTAAGCCGTGACGATTACTTTTCTTACTATATTTTCTTCAGCTGTGAAGAAAATAAAAGAAATTTATGTGGGCTGAAATAATTTTCTCTACCTACACAATCCTTGCATGCATTGTGATGTAGCTATGACAGGGTATCATTTTTTGATATTAGAGAAATTATACCCATGTTATTATTGCTTTCAGCTAATCAATGAATTAATGCATTAAGTTAATTCTAATCACGGCAAAAATAATTTTCTATTTTACCATTAACGACTGTATGTGATGAAATCTGTGACATGAGACTACACCTGCGCGAGCCAACTGCGTTTTAATTACATAACTTCGGGGAATAGATTAAATCTTGGAAAAAAGCGTAATATTTTGTTTAAATACTTCAGATTTGAGGATTTCTATCCAAATTTGAAGACCGATGACTTTTCATTGCTGGTAATACTTTTTATATTAGACAGAAGGGAACTAAAAATAAAAGTTATAGAGGCCATTTATATATTCTTTACATTCGCAATAAAACTTTCAACTTCGGGTGTGATGATGCATAGGTCCCTCTTCTTTAAAAAAAAAAAAAAAAAAAAAAAAAAAAAAAAAAAAAAAAACTTATCCCATTTTTAAAGAAGAGTATGTCAGATCTCTCTCGGAATCGACAGAATTTTAGTCAAAATCTACGCCAATCTAAAGTTGAGTGTTTTTTAACTGTTTTTTAGAAAAGGCTCATTAAGAGCTAGCAATTATTATTATTTACGTGTCCGCTCTAAGGCCCTACAAGGAACGGAGGGATGCCTTCGTGGAGGACTTCCTAAAAAAAAAGTTACACTCTTATTAACAAGTTACACATGGGGAAAGAGCTAGTAATGAAAAAAAAATTGCTACTGAGTGACGCTTTCTTTCAATAAAATTATGGTAAATAAAATAGTTTTCTTCAACTGAAAATAGGCTCCATTGTGCAATTTTTAACACTGTCGCCTAAATTCAGTTCATTTTCCATTAGCAAACTGTTTAGTTTTACAGAGCATCGCACGCCATTCTTTTTGACATATGACAATCACATGTTAAGTTTTAAAACTAAATCTATAACTAAATGATTTTATATTTTTTAGTTAATAAACATTGGTTAACTAGTGTGAGTGCTTTATATATTCTTTTTGAATTTTTATTTTGACTAGTGGAACCCTCGGATGTGGAACACAGTTTGAAGACCACTGGAATAGACCATTCAGATGGCATTCAAATATTTCATATTTATGGTGCATTTGTTATTACATCTTGTAAGAATTATAAATTTCAGACTTACCATCATTTGTTTTAGGTTTGCAGGCTGTTGTCGTCGAGGGATTATGATGAACTGAAGGCGAAGTAGCTGTAAAACCAACCGGATATGCAAATGGGGACGTTCTGAGGAAAGCAGAATGTAAAGTCCTTAAGTCCAGGGTGGGTGGCATCGAATTAGCTTGAGTGGTATAATAATGACTATGATCAACAGGATTATGCCTCATACTTCCAGGTGCACTGTCACTGCAAGATAGCAGCCTACAGCCCAATAAGCGATTGTAACTGAGGCTGGGAGATAAAGTGCTAGGTGCATCTAAGTTAGAGGATACCATTGCAGGTGAACCAGTTGAAGAAGGAGATACCGAGACCAGATCGTTTGAATCCAGCGGTGTAACGCGTCCAAACTTATCACTATGATTGAGGCCGTGCAGATCACTTGCTCTCCAGAGCGGCGGAGATGACAACGATGAATCTGCTGAGCTGTCCTGGTGTAATCTAGGTATGGTTCTATGGTAAGGAGACTGATGAGACACGTCTGGAGAATGAAAGGATTCATGATAAACCATTCTCCTCAGCCTTTTATTGAAATCTTCTTGTTGCTGTTCCAAACCATGCTTCCTTGAAGTAGGTGGACTCTCTGAAGTGGCTGTTTGTGCCAATGACCAGATTTTTGGCTTCTCAGCTACAATTCCTTCATCACACTTATTACTATCAGAAATATCAGTCACTCTTAATTTGACAGGAGAGTTTTCGATAGTCTTTGGCGTAGATTCATCTCTGCAAGATTCCGAGACACTCTTGAAAGGAGAAGATTCACGCTGGTGTGTTGTTTCTTCGTCAGAATTACTGCCTTTGTTTTCACTCCTTGTTGGCTCTTCACGTGTTTCTAAAAATTTTAAAAATACACTTTAAAATTGGGAAATAATTTTGCAAAAAGGGCATATTTTGAGTAAAATGTGTAAAGAAATTAAAAAAATGAGAAATGTAGTTTTTTCCTTTTTCCTTTTTATGGTAACAAAGCTTAAATTTTGCTTATATGTAATAATATTCATTGAAATTTTAGAATTATGATCTTTGACAACACTATAATAGTCAAGGATGGAAAAGGACCTTCACTTTGCCAATGAAAAATGATGACACAGTTTTAGAATATAAATGAAAGCAATGTCATCTGAATGTTATCCGACGTATTGATGCAAGACTCTATATTCCTCGCTGATATTTTAGAACTTTGAAATGTATGGGTAATAATTTGTTTAGAAATAATTATTTATTCTTATATATCTTTTCGTTCTCATATTTATTCTCTTCCTTATGCACAGGAAAATGATCCATTTAAACTTAACCTTCCTTTTAAAGCCAAGTGAATAAACATTCTAGCGTTGACTATTCCAATAATCTCTTAAATGGAAGAATACTGAGTTCCTAGATAAGTAAGTTTTCCAACAAATAATTATGCAATAATTTTTCACCTCAATTTTAATTTTAATGCAAATTAAAATCAATGATAATATATAAATAAAATTTAAAAAAAAATCTGAAATGTTTCAGATTTTAAATTACGTCCAAAGGGCCGTTTTTTAACATTTTGTGTGTTACCTTTCTTTATTAAATATCATGTTCCTCGCACTTAAACCATAAGATCCGGTGCAACAGCAATATCGCAAAATAGTTTTAAAACGAGCATATCTTTAGAATTTCCGATACAGAGACTCACGCGCTGGAGATAAAAATGTTTTTTCTGCACAACGTTGCCATTGCTCGCTTTGAAATCCTTGAGTTTGTTAATCAAAAATTCGTCAAAGTTTTAAAAAAATAGGAAATCGATCATAAAACAAATTTCAAATTTCAAATTTGGTCTTCCACATGCTCATATTCGTTGGAGGATTACGTTATTCAAAATTCGATGACTCTATGTACCGTTGTTTTATCACAATACGAGAAATATACATACATTTATGCAGATTTTTCATTATTTAATTTCTTCAAATATAATGCAGGACTCTAACATTTTGTGGCAACAGTTTGAAAAGTGAACCGACATTTATGAGTCCGACGCAAAATGCCAAAACGAAACTAATAGTCCTTCGGGATTCAAATCCCTTTGGACTAATAAAGGAAAGAAAATGTCTATTGCAAAATGATTTAAGCGACTGAAATATTTAGTAATTTCATACAATAATTTTTTTTTTGGATAGATAAATCATTGTCTTGTTAAATAATTCAGCACATCATAAAAATAATTCAAGATATTTCCATGAATCATTATCGATGGTACCTACATAATTATTAGTTTTGCGAATTTCTGTTTTTTAGCTTGTAACCATTTAATTTTACTCCTTATGTATTCGGCATAAAACTAAATGGTAAAAGCTCTTTAATGAGATAAAGACGAATTCATTGCTGAATAAAGACCCACCTAACCTTATCTACATATCCCATTCATTGCATGTTCCTTTCCCATTACGAAGAGGTAAATATCATCCACAGGAAAGTGACATTACAGTTCCATAATTCGGATATTAATATGCACAAAGAACTAAAAAAAGAGGAAGTCAGCTAGAGGAAATGGTAGTAAAGATTGGTCGAAGAATGCTCAAAAATGGCGCCTCCCTGAGAAATAAAGGACAAAAGAAAGAAGAGAACTAAGTAACACATTATAGTCGTTACGTAAAACATATACTCAGCAAAATGCGCTTTTCATGCCATTGTTGAGTGCTAATGTCTCAATTTCGAGATGACAGAATCACATGCCAGTTAGATTTACGACATAATAAGACACCACGGCCGCGAACAGCATTTCGGAACATGCGGTTGCGTGCCCCTCCAACACCCCAAGAGTATCTTTGAGATTCCCGCTTCTTTGGCTTCCCCCCCTTATGCTTTTAGATTTCATTCTTACCCCCCTTTTTTTTTCTTTTACCATGCAGAGATCTCTCCATCCCCTTTCTTTATCGTACATGCATCTTTTATTATTGGCATTTGTATTTTTTTCCCTGCTAGAGCTTTATCTCTGAAACCATCATTATTGCTTGCCGAAATTAAGACATAAATAAGATATTAATTCCAGTCGAACAGCCCAAGACAATGAACAGAAATAAGCAAAGCTTGTAAAATATTAGTTAACATTAACTGCATCATTATTAAACACATTTTCGGCTGTTTCTATAACGAAAAGTTTTGGGATTGCATCTGAGCTGTGATTTTGTGACTGTGTTCAAATTTTATTATTTGTTTTGTCAATTTTAAACTTGCTTTTTTTCTCTTGCTGCTTTCCACTCTCCCACCTTAGGGAAAATAAAGCAAAGTTAAGTTATTTTAGAGTTGATTAAACTCTTAACACAAAGTATGAAGTGACTGAAACTGTATGATGACTGAAAGAGGTTGCCTTCAAATAAATAGCCGAATGAAAAATACTTTCGAAGCGTATTCAAATACTTATCATTCGAGAAAGAAGAATTACCGTAGAGACGGCTTAAATGATAAACCGATTTCAATAGTATGCAAATACTCTCCTATTTGTGCATACATTTTACATTGTTGTCAGAAATCTTCTGATTTGCCATGAATCTTCTGGTTTATAGTGGCTATAGCATTGCGCAGCAGCATCACAGGTCCGGGGTTCGAAACCCGGGCTGGGCAAAGTCGACTCAGCCTTTCATTCCTGAATTTCCATCCCTTGTATCTATAAAATGAGTACCAATTTGCTTGGGGTCTAAACACTGGGGGATCCTGCGACAAGCTGACCACTTGTTAAGGGCATGTGCTTACGCAACCCTGAGCCAACGGTCAAGAAAGCAGATCTCGGGGCACTGCAAGCCTTGGCCAATTAGGGCTGTTTGCTCCACTGAGTTTAGTATTTTAGGTTTTTTTTCCCCTGATTTATGGCAACTTAAGTTTCTAAATCATATGCTGAAAAAATATAAAGGGAAAATTAGCGAGGAGGAAAAATAAGCGAGTATGCAGGCAAACACGGTATTCGTGGTTAAATAACTTTAGAGATTCTATAAAGTTTTAGTCGGTGTTCTCATTTCAGCTTCTAATCTGCATTTTGTAAAGTAAGTTGACAATAATTTTTATTTCAAATCAAAATAAGCATTTATGTTTATTTTTAAAAACAGGGTAATCTGTACTTACGTTTAGAGGTATTGTGATTAGATGGTTTGCATGCTTTGCCCTTGTATGCAAATGTATGCCTTTTATTTCTTTCCGAACCAACGAAGACAAACTCAACAATTAAAGTAATTTGCATCTTAGTTGGTTCAGACACAGGCCGATTTATTTACTTCCTTCATTGGACGATGCAGATGTCCTTTGATGACGATGCAGGGAGAGATGTAAATTTCTTATTTCATTTTTGATTTTTATATGTTTTGCTCCCTTTTTCTTGAAGTTTCGCAATATGTTTTTGGTTTCTTGGTTTTTGCATATGTTTATTCTCAATTGAATACGGTATGAATTTTAAAGACATTACCTATTTTTCATTACATATATGTATAATTATACTAAAGCATTCGTTTCAAAATAAAGCTAAGAAAGGATAAGAAACACATGCAAAATATAATTGAATTTTTCTGTTTTATATTCCTTAATGCTTTGCACTTTTCCCCCTAATAATAGATCCCGTAGATACAGTAGCGTATTATTTTTCATTATTTTGCATATATTATTATATTATCTACTGATACTATGATACTAATGGACATATTTTAAGAATGTTTAGGCAAATATTAGATTAGCTAAGACTTTTGTGGAAACCATTAGGTTTTTCGGAGCAGGAAACGAGAAAAATCAATTGCGTCTTTGCCCGGATTCGAGCCACGGATCTTTCACTTATTAGCTGGACATGATCTCTTAGACCAGGTGAACATGTAAGGCAGAATACAGTAATTTCACTATGCCTCCTTAAAGGATATCTGAGGAGAAGCACGAGACACAGTTGAATAAATCCAGATGAAGTCCAGGCATATTTTTAGTTTGGACGGCCACTTTGAAGACCTGTTAAATTTATAGGAGCAAAACACATGAAAAATTAACTGGGCCTTCGCCAAGATTTGAACCACAAATCTTCCATTTATTGACTAGACATGTTAACCACTTTCACTTCAAAAGCTTATTCGGGAGAATGTTGTGATTCCTTACATCTTTGTCACCTAGGTCCACCAGCGGCCGAGCGGTAAAGTCGCTGAACACTGGTAGTTCGGTCCGAGGTTCGAATCCCACGAACTGGCTGGCTGCATGGGCATTTTCGTGGTTTTCCTGATGCGTAATGTGTATACGAGCCAGTTTCCCTTAGAAAGTCCTCCTCGAAGGCATCCCTCTCCTTAGGCAGATAGCCCTAGCGTGCTTTGCCATTAATTAAATAAAACAAACCAAACCATCTTTGACACCTTAAATTTTGTCCCTTGAAAAACCTACAAATCTTATGTTTCATCAATGACGCTTAAATATTAAATTTAAAACCGGAATATATATGCTTAGCCCTCAGATGCACAAAATAGGGTTATTTATTTTAATTTGGGAAATACATGATCAATTTTTAAGCGAATTTGTTTGAAAATTAATCAGAGGAAACTTAACAGTAAGGGTATGCATTAAGCATTTTTCAGGTGGTCTGACGATGGCCAAAATACCAGTCTGATTTGTTAACGTTTGAAAAAGGTTTCTTTTATTCATCAACGATGAAATTACGCGTAGTATCTATCAGAAGTAAACTTACAGGTATGATGAAAGAGAAAGAATGACTTCTTTTATAGTTTTACTCCCGTATTATAAATGCCGGCAATGATGGCTGGGCAGCAAGTACAAATAAAAAGCGGTTGGCTTAAAAATAATAACGAGTGTGCTAGATATCTAAAAATTTCAGATCCCTAAGTAATCCATTTT